ATGTGACCACACGCACACAAGAGTACGGCACGGGGCTGGATAGCCAGTAGTTATACATTTAGATTTCACTATACATATTTAGGGAAATCTATGCATTTAGGCGGCTTTGCCGCAGATAAAAATAAATGAAGTCATTTTTGAATTTTTACCAAAGAGTCAATTAGCTTGGGGTCAAGGTTGTAATTTCTCTTGGAGTAAGCGGATCGCGATCCGCTAAACTCGTACTTGTTCTAAGTATAAAACGAGAGGTTGGTGACCTAACTTACGCTTACTCAAAGCGCAAAGCTACGCCGACCCCGCTGCAGAAATCATGTAATATCGAGGCCGTCGTTGAGTCTTTGTGATACAATTTTTGCCATGATGTCCACCAGCTTCACAGAAATCTGGCAGTCTTTGAGCTCGTCTTCAACACGCTTGACTCCGTCACGACCGTGTTATCACTTGATGTCTGACGTGTTTGGCGGTCTGGAGTTCACAATACTCGACTGATTATTTTCTAGGATCTTAGCTGAGGTCCTGACTTGCCTTCCACCACCAGAATCTCACAAAAGAACATTGAATTCACTGCCTACTCAAAGATTCCGATGTATTGCGCCTCGCTATTGACAGTTAAAATAAAAAATGTGAAACTTCTATCTTGGTTTACGGTACTCAAATCGACGAAGTCAGGTATACACCCGTGTAGTCCCCGTTCAGCTTGTCTACAGATGTCATGTTCGAAGTATCTTGCGCAAAAGATATGTTTATTGGCTCAAAACTCACGAATTTTCATCGACTTTGAACTTGGACTAAGCGAAAGAAGTGTCAGGAAGGTCGATGCAATGACATCTATTGAAAAAGCGGAATTCAGAAGCAGCCGATTATCAGAGCTTAAGCTCCCTTCACCATTTATACCGCATCAAATCATTGGGATGAACCAAACACCATCCCCTCCGCTTGACCAGTCATTCTACCCGCCTAATCATTTATAGAATAATCAGAAAACCATAACATTGCAAGATCGATCAAAAAGGTGAACCTCAATAAGAACTTCGTCAAAGCAAATTTTCATCGTTAAGGTTATGACGTCGGATACGCTAACAATTTATTGTGCAGTTTTAGTTTTTGCACCGATAACATTATGCAATCGAATATTTGACGCTTCGGTGCCGGACAATAACATTTTAAAATTTGAAGCGTCGCATGTCGCAGATTATTCAGCTTTACAAATGATAATCTGATGTTTTGAGGTGGCATACAGCTGCAACACGACCATCCAGTTTTCTTTTGTTCAAGTGCTTAATAATAAGCTCTATGTAACTTAAAGCACCTCATCTACATTGAATTGTAAGGTCATAAGACGCCACGGTTTTTGCCACACGAGCAGCTGATAGGAGCATCTCTCGTTTAAGCCTGTCTACAAAATGATACCTTTGACTATCAAATTTTTGTCAGCTGTCCGTGCTGTTGCGTCACGACCAGAATTTAGTGAAAGCACAGACAGGGCTACAAGCTATCAGAGGAAATCAAGTTATATAATGATTAGCCAGGGAGTACAAACGAAACCAGTCTCGAGGTTGTAGGCTGTTGCTGAATCGCGATCGAAGCTAAGAAGTGCTGAAGCAGTTGTTAAATCCACACTCAACTTGTCTTTCTGGAACTAGAAAATATGTTTTGAAACGTGGCATGATCAGGTGAATGTTATACATTGAATGTTAAAGACAAGTAGACGCTTAAAGTCTCGGAAAGATCTTATTTTATACTATTCTAGTCAACTTGTGTATATCCTTTTTTTTCTTTTTTTCCATGAACAACAAGAAAAGAGGAGAGTTTATAGTTTTACCCGCTTCAGCTGCATTCTCTGCAGACGATGGCATAGGCACCCGTTGCAAACTAATAAGCTAATCTTTTCGAGGTCTCTGGTGCCTTACGTTGTCTTGATCTTTATTTAACTGCAGGTCAATTCGTGACGGTGTAGTTGGCATACATGCGTTTTGCTTGTATCATCGGACATTATGCTAAAGTCAGCCTTGGTCGAAACAGCTGCCGTCTGAAGGTGCATGAGTTGAGAACCCTGATATAGTACAGATCTCAATTGTGTGAATTTCATAAAGTCCAGCGCACTAATTGATCTGGCTAACGAACACTGGTATTTAAGCGACATGTCGAAGCATCAATCGGGAAATTTCAGGGACAGAGTTCGTTCTTTCACCGCTTTTGCGACTCAAGCGCAATTTTATCTTTTTAAATATTTGTGCCTTTAACATGCTAATCTGCAGCACAATCTCTGAAGCGCACACACGCATGGCAATCCGAATTCTGTTATATATGACAATCAGGCAATTCTCTTGGTTACCGGGCGTCGGTGCTCAGAGTGTGATGTCAACAAGTCGCTAAATAAGTTGCCAAATATAGTCTTCGCGCATAAAGCCCGCAGTGATGAGTTGTCAAAGCCCCTCGAAATAAAATCGGATGGAGCGTGCTCATTCAGTCAGATGTCGTACCACGTGATCTCCCAGCGGAGCTTGTACCACGAAGACCACGTCGTGCTCTACTAAGCTTTAATCAGTCTCCACTTGATCATGACCTTTGCCGAAGTAAAGACATCGTGACAAGGTCGACAACGTTGCAGCCGCTTGTGTGAAGGAGACGTCAGCTTAACAAGCTCTGTGCTTTTTGTTATTCACCTTGCTCTTTTGCGCCACCCAGCGCTCATGCCGCAGTTGCGCGTCTAGACTTGAAATGTTGAGACCGCGGTCACTCTGACGCTCGTACAAGATCTCCCACGGTTTGCGCACGAGCCGAACAAGCAGCAATATTACTATTTACAATGCTATCAACATTGACACGTGCTGAGTATAGTGACACAAGCGAGAGAGCAACGTTGTCTGGGTTACAGTAACGGGAATTGCCCGCCCGTATAAACGCACTTTCTGAGGAAGAATTAAATTAGTTCACACGCATCACCGCGTATTGCTCACTGTAACGGAAATTGCCCGCCCGTATTCACGCACTTGCGGAGGAATGCCTAAATCAGTTAACACGCTTCACCGCGTGTTGCTCACTTCCGATCTGCTGATTTACGTGGGCGATGGGGAAAGGTGGAGTGACATTTATTATGGCCGATAGGCTTTGAACCTTCCTAAACTGATAGGTGCCTCTCATTCTGATATACGCACTGCATATATTATACATGATTTTTTTTATTTGTAGCTAATATTCATCACACACAAGCATGTGGTCTACACAACATGTGTAATGAACTGACCCCATTACACACCAATCCCAGTCAAAAATGAGTTTACCCATGTTTTCTTGAATCTTTTCAACTCGGAGGCTCGGTTATTCGTAAACCTGGACAAATTAAAGAAGGCTTGCGCCGACGACGAACGCAGAGCAAAATGCACCTCAATTTGAGGATGCGAAGGCGCCTTCGCTACCATCAAACTTGGATAATGCTCCAATTACACGTCGAACACCACTTTCGCACGTTTAGCCAAACTTGGCATCAAACGACCAGCTTGGGTGAATGACCATTCTTATGAATAACCCATTGATATCGTCAGTCGTCTTATGTATTTGCGCTACCGTGAGATTGGTCGTCGTCACAAGTTTTACGACCGATATGTTTAACGAACTAATTTGTCGACTGTGAAGCTTGAGTGATGACTCGAACCGCGTATTTCCAGGCCGTCGGACCGATAACATGTGCTAGCGGAGAGCCACGAAGTCTCATGTACGTACTGTCCATCCAGCACATCAATATTAATTCTGTCTCGACAATCGACACTAGATTCTGGGCATGTGTTCGTGAAGTAAAATCCGTTGATATTCACAATTTGCAAAATGCATATCTCGCTGCAGGTTTTTTAAGTACGCGCTATGCACTTTCGGTTTGCCCATTTAACAGCACAGGATCTGGTTCACTCCAATATCGAAAATGCTCGCGAAGTTCGTGCGGTCATAAGTCGAGTCACGACGAGAGGGAAAGAGAGGAGGGAAAAGGATGGATCCTCAAAACTAATTCCGTCTTTTGGCCCGCATCGAATGCGCGAACGATTTTGAGACAGTCGCGAAGAAGACGACTACGAAGCCCCGTATTCTCGCTCAATGGATAACCCGGACAATTCACCAAGAGCCTCTTTCGACCGCGAACGTTCCTCTCCACCGCCACATTCTCAACATGGTCTTATCGATTTCCTTGTCGATCGATATAAGGGGAGCTTGCCCGAAGAGGGCGCTTCTTCTGCTTCTTTGGTGGCTGCTCCACAGTCTTTATCTTTTTTGGATTGCGATTGACGAAGGTGGAGAAATTCTCTTCTCCGGTAAGCCGGCCGATGATCGAGATTTTTGATCGGGTGTTGGGGGCGCGACAATGCGTGAAGGATACTCGACGGGTCGTTTGAGAAGTTCGCGATCTCGCATAGCGTGATGAAAACTCGCCTTGGAGGTGCAACCGAGAATCGGATTCGGTGATTGCAGCAGGCTCTGTGGGTTCTTTACCCTACTGCGGCTGCTTATGCTGATGATGCGGACCCTCCTGACAAGCGACCTCGCTTTGTTTCAAATGGGCATATTTTCCATAGTAAACACCAACGCGATCAGCAGCCATCTGCTTCTCGTCAACATTCCGAATCCTCGGAATGTTTGATTGATATCGAAGTTCACGCTTATCCTTGCTATTTTTAGAATGATGGTGAGGCGACGATGCCAAAGGTCATTACTTTTGACCCTCGTGCCAAAGCTGTGGCTCTAAAATCATATTCGTATAACCCTGCGTCACATCCAGGTTGGAAGTCGCGTTGTCGCAATGATAGGGCTTGAGGTGCCCTACATAGAACGTTGGAGTGTCCTTAGCCAGCTTGGATTGTCGATCGTGTCTGTCTGTGTATTCTCTTTGTAAATTGTGTGCATTGGCCATTACATTCGCACACGTGTGAACACATTCACACGACTCATGATGACTGATTCAAGGGCGTCCTTGTTCGTGCGCTTCACATTTGCACCATTGATCTTATCAATTTGAGAGGCAACGATTTTCCAAGCTCCCTTATTTACGTCAGAGACACCACCCATTGCACAAAGCGGGTATCGCCATCGCAGGCCATTCATAAAAAATGGTGTAAATCCAGCACATTAATGAGCCAAATTGTTTAAAGCAAACTCTAATTATGATAACAACGACCTTCATTATGCGGGATTTTTCTCACAAAAGCTTCTCAAGACGTCACCGAGCACTCGGTTGGCACGTTCTGTTTGCCCATCGGTCTTCTTGTGTACCGCTGTGAACATATCCAAGCGAGTGCCAAGATTTTGGAACATTTCTTTTCAAGAGCCGCGCGTGAATCGTGTGTCATGATCAGAAACGATGGCGTCTGGCAACCCGTGATTTCAAAAACGTTACAATCTAGCCGAACCTTCGGCATCGATGGAATCGCTACATGGAGGGATGCGAACCATCTTGCTCAGTCTGTCGACGAAGACGAACACTCTAATATGACCACAAGCATTTCGAAGAAACCGAAGACAAAGTCGAGAGTGACTGGCTTCCAACAGTCAAAAGGAACCGAAAGACTTTGCAATTGCACTTGCGTTTGCCGTGCGCTCTTCACGAGTTGACAGACATTGCATGTCTTCACGTGTCGAGCAACCCACGTGAACATGCGGGGCCATCAAAATTGGGCACTGAGAGCCTAGTAGGTTTTCTGACGGCCAAAGTGACCGGCAATCGATGTATCATGCGCCTCGTGCACGATATTAAACTTCATATCATCGTTGTGAAAAACCAGAATCCGTAGCTTGTCACCATGAGCTACTTTATAGTGAAAGAGACCATCCTCCCAGGCATAAAGATGTAATCGTAATTTCGAGCGACCAGGAAGCTTGCCTTGGAATTTCATATCACTCGATGACAGTGCTCAGATCATCAGATCACACTAGGGGACATTTGCAATGACAGTGAGGTGACTAAACTGCATATCGCAAGCTTGCGTGATCCGTGTAGACGACAAATGAAGTTGGGCCCAGGAGGTGAGCGCAACACTTCACCAGAGCAAATTTCTCTGCTAAAACTATCCCTGTCGTGGACAGAGTGGTTCTTATCTGTTGCTTCAGCTGTTGATATCAAAACAACATGACACGATAGTATCCATCCGATTTATCTTTCAATAATGTACAACAGATCGCAAACTTTGAAGCGTTATACACCACGCTCTACGGCTTCGTATCATCTGGAAGAGCAAGCAAAGGTGCTTCCATCAAGTTTTTCTTGATTCGAGTGAATGCTTCATCACAAGTGAATGAACACTCCCACGCTACATCCTTCTTCAGCAAGTTTGATAGCGAGCATACTACGAGTGCAACATGGCGCTTCAGCGCATCGGCGTCTTAGCGCAGACGCTGCGAAGAACGTCTTCGATTACGCGATTCGCCCTTTCGGTTCGACCATCGATCTGCGGATGACCCGCTGTCGAAATATCCAACTTGGTGCCAAGCACCTTGAAGATAGTCGACCAAAATTAACCCATGAAACGGGGGTCTCTATCAGAGACAATCGACTCTGGGAGTCCGTTTCGTCAGAAAAGACGATCCACGAACAGCGTTGCTGTACCGACTCCGTCGATGGTGTCTGGCACCGCCGCC